ACACACAGGTGAATGCAGCCTTCAGGGCGGCACCTGCACTGCTCAGAAAGCTGCCGTTCTTAGCTGCCTGCCAAACTGCACTTCTCAAGTTCACTCACAAAAACACTCAGTCCAAACCCTTTCCTAGCAAGCATTAATGGGGATCCCTCCATTCCAGGCAGGCTGCACACTGCACCACCTCATCCACAGTCAGTCAACAAATCCACACAGCTCTCCGCTACTGTCTAGCTATGTGCCTTTAGCGAAGATAGCTACATTTTCTTTTTTAAGATTTATTTATTTGAAAGGTGGAGTTACAGAGAAAGAGAAGGCAAGACAGAGAGAGAGAGAAAGAAAGGTCTTCCATCCACTGGTTCACTCCCCAAATGGGTGCAATGGCCAGGGCTGCACCAGGCCAAAGCCAGGAGCCAGAAGCTCCTACATGGGTGGGCCCAAGGACTTGGGCCATCTTCTACTGCTTCTCAGGTGCAGCAGCAGGGGCTTGAACCAGCACCAAAATGGGATGCTGGTGTCGCAAGTGGCAGCCCCACATTTTCTTTTCTTTTTTTTTTTTTAATTGTTTTAAAATTTATTTGAAAGGCAGAAAGACAGACATCTCCCAACTATTGGGTCACTCCCCAAATATCCACAATGGACTCCCAGCCAGGACCAAAAATGGAAGCCGGGAACCCAATTCAGGTCTCTTTCATGGGGAGCAGGACCCCCGTCAGCCTCCACAGCCATCTCTGGGAATCACAGGAGCAGGAAGCTGTCGTCAAGGGCAGGAGCTGAAAATCAAACTACGCTCTGTGGTGGGCGTCCTGGCCATCCTAATTACTAAGCCCAAAGCCCGCCCATATGGAAATTTTCTGTGGATCAGTTTCCTTAACTCTACAGTGGGGCATGGAGTGGCTGTCAGGATTCAAGTTAACACGGAGGCAGGATCTTAAACAGCACACGGCACCCAGTGAGCACTTATAAAAGCCAGCTCCCGTAAGTGTTAGCATCAGGCGAGATTCATGGCAGCTGCAAAGTCAGAAGAGGTGTAGGCTGCTACCTGTGAAGAGCCTCTGGATGAGAAGTGGAGATGAGTCGCGGCTCCCCACACAAGCACAGCACACAGAGGAGGGATGCAGGCAGACGAAGGAACACCTCGCCCTGCCCTTCTCTCTAGCTCTTTTCCAAGATGAGACCAACTGTGGTCAGGAGCTCACTGAGTGGGCTGTGTTTCATGAGCGGACAGCTCACTCTGGTTTTTTGTTTTGTTTTTGTTTTTTTAAAGATTTATTTGAAAGAGTTACAGAGAGAAAGAAGGGCAGAGAAAGAGGTCTTCCATCCGCTGGTTCATGCCCCAATTGGCCACAACGGCCGGAGTTGCACCAATCCGAAGCCAGGAGCCAGGAGCTTCTTCCCATTCTCCCACATGGGTGCAGGGGCCCAAAGACTTGGGCCATCTTCTACTGCTATCCTAGGCCACAGCAGAGAGCTGGATCAGAAGTGGAGCATCCGGGACTTGAACCGGCGCCCATATAGGATGCTGGCACTGCAGGCGGCAGCTTTACCTGCCATGCCACAACGCCGGCCCCAGCTCACTCTGTTTTAAAGACAGGCAGCAAGGCCGGCACCGCGGCTCAACAGGCTAATCCTCCGCCTTACGGCGCCAGCACACCGGGTTCTAGTTCCGGTTGGGGCACCGGATTCTGTCCTGGTTGCCCCTCTTCCAGGCCAGCTCTCTGCTATGGCCCGGGAGTGCAGTGGAGGATGGCCCAAGTGCTTGGGCCCTGCACCCCATGGGAGACCAGGAAAAGCACCTGGCTCCTGGCTTCGGATCAGCACGGTGCGCTGGCCATTGGAGAGTGAACCAACGGCAAAAGGAAAACCTTTCTCTCTCTCTCTCACTGTCAAAAAAGGCAGCATAACAGTGCTCCCTCTCTGCAGGGCATGGCCCCATGGCGAGCCAGTTACCATCACCCACGCGGCCGGCTAGGTGGAGACTCAGGATCTGTTTCCCAAGCCTGGCCAGAAGCAACAGCGAGAAGCAAGCAGGTGGCTTCCCTTGGGACTTAACCCAACGAAGCCAATACCCAATTCTTTTTTTTCCCTTCTCTTTTGTACAGAACCCTCAGAACAGGATATTTGCCCATAATTAGGTGATACCTGTTTCACACTCTGTTCTGATTCTACAGATTTGGGTTGAGAAGCCCAGAGGAAAGAGGTATGAGTGGAGAGGATCCAAGCACCAAGATCTTAAGCAAATCCACGACCACAAAGGGCAAACAAGGTCATGGCAGGGTTAGAGAGTGTGCTGTGGGGGAACATCCTTGTCTCAGGGCAAGGGACAGGAGAAGGAGAAAATCAGGGAAGGCTCCCTGAAGGAGGTGGCATTTAAGCTGGGACTGAAGGATCAGCAATATATGCTGAGACAGTAGGAACCTCAAGAATTCTGACAACCAGCATCGTTAACCAAAAGAATAATTCAAGTTATGAAAATGAACACATTAGGGGGTGATCAGAGATACCCAATCAGCCAGTGTATAACCTCTAGACTGGGAGTATTAGACAAGCTGGACCACTGGAGAAACAGCCCCTGGCAACAGCTACTGCTCCGACAGCATCCACGGAACTCCTGTCTCCACCACTGTGATCCTAACTCCCTTATTCTGGCTTCACACAACCAGGTCACTTTTTCATTAAAAACCCAGTTTCGTGGCTACCTGGACTCTGAGAAGACGGGACCCTGCACAGAGGAAACAAGTGGCTTTGTTGCTAGGAAACGACCCCCATCTGTAGTGACAGAGAAACAGTTTCAAGGCGCTATTTGTACCTCTTCCTCCAAGGTCAACCATCAGTGCTCTCCTGCCTTCCCCACAAGTTCACCCACTGCCTGTCTTCCCCTGAGTCCATCCACTCCTTCGACCCTTCAGAGAGAAGAGCAGAAGAATGGAGGTGAAACTCGGGGTGAGGTCGGAGATGCTTGTAAGAGGAAGTTGGGCCGGAGAGAAAATCCCAGATAAAGGAGCTGACGCATCACCCCAGGAACAGATGGGAACTCTCACGGAGTTCTCAGTGCAGCACCATCAGGGTCAGGAGCGGGTGCCAGGAAGGTTAAGCCAGCAGGTAGGAGCGGCAAGCAGATAAACCAGGGATCTATAGACACAGGGCATGTCCTGCTGCTCCACATACACACACACACACACACACACACACGCCCTGCTGCTCCACACACACACACACACACACACACACCTAGCATGGGCACCTCACCTAGCTGCCCTCCCTTTTACGTCTCGCCGGTCTTTCCCACCTCCTGGTTTGACCTGATAAAGCTGGCCCTGATGGCTGCAGCCTGCCTGACATCCGGGTTCATAAAACTGTACGGAACAGACAGTAGTATTCCACACTGTTTGTACGTCCAGAGGCACGTCTGGAATCTGACCCTGTTCTTCAGGTGTTAGGCGCATCTAGGCTCTCAGGCTGGGAAGTGCCCCTGGCAGGACCAGGCTGACCGGGCACAGAACACACGTGCCCTGGACGCTTTCAGAAGCAGATGAGCTTGGGAACGTTCGGGTGGCAGAGTCGGCACCTGCGTACTGTCCTCCCGCCCTGTCTCCTCCTCCTCCTTGGCCAGGGGGCAGCTCAGCTGGAGCCCACAGCTCCTGGCTTCCCTTTCCGCGAGGTCACCTAACGACACGTTTTACAAAGGAATCTGAGCAGTGGTGATCTGCACAGCCAGCCTTTTATTTTTCCTTCCTTCTGCACAGATGAGGACAAAGCTATGGGGGATGGTGGAGCAATGAGATAGAAGGAACCTGGGCCCCTGAATGACCTTGTGTAACAGTCACCTTGGCAGCCTGACTGGTACCTGAGACAAAAACACTCCCTCATTTAAGCCCCCATATGTTAGGGTTTCTGTTTCCATAGTCAAGCCTCCATATAACTAATATATTTCCCCAACCCATACTCTCCACCTGCCTTAATACTCCGATTCCAGTTTTTGAACTGGGCGTGTTCTCAGCTTCCTTCCCATCTGTGTGTGACCACAGACTAGGCTGTGGCCAGGGAAGTTAAAGCTATGGGACTTCTGAGCCATCTCCTTATAAGGCATTCGCTGACCTTTGTCCTGCTTCCTCCTTCCCGCTGTCTGGAACCTGAATGTAATGACTGGAGCTCCAGCAGTCACTCTGGATCATGAAGTTCCATGCTAAGAATTGTAAAGAGGCAGAAGAACACAAACCAGGGTCCCTGGTGATCATGAACCCTCCGCACTGTTCTCAACTGCCAACTTCCAGACTTCTTTAGGTGAGAGAGGACTGCGTCGCTGATTGAGGCTACTTATGTTTGCTACACACAGCAGAACCCGATCCTAACACATACACCCACTTAACAGATGTCAACATTTTAAACCCCAGCTTGGAGATCCCTCTTCGCAGGAGAAAAGGAAACACAGGGCATCCCAAAGTGGCAGGAATAAGAGGCCAGTTTCCGGTCCTTCGGAGCAGACCCAGCTGGGCTTCCGTGCTCACTGAGGCACACCTACGGGGGCCCAGCAGGTTCCAACAACGTGGCTCCTACTAAGGGACCACAACGTGCACGGTGACAGGAAAGAAGTGGGGTGGGAGTGCGCAGGAAGATGCAACCCGGCGCTGGTGCCAGGGCAGCGGGCACTGCCAATGTGGATCACCAGGCAGGGAGGAAAGAAGGCAGCATCTCCCTCCAAGTGGAGTCTTTGCTCTCACCCACCCCCACCCCACCCCCATCCCCAGCAGGCAGGTTGGAGACCTTATGTGAGGGCTTGGGGAGCTTAATGCACTGCCTCTCGGGACTAGGGTAACCACCTCCCGCTCCCGCCCTCAGTCTCCCCACCTGGAAAGTGGGCAGCAGGCACCGACAGCTCTTCTGCCCTTGCTCCAAGGCGAACGGGGCCGAGCAGCGCGCCCCGCACCCCGGTTTCGGCTGTGCCACGGCTGCCCCGAGTCCCTGCCACCCCCCCTGCCATCTCCTCCCCTCCCTCACAGCCTCACCCTCCTCCGAGAGGTAGCGCAGGTCATAGAATTCCCCCGCGAAGGTGCCGTAGGAGGAGTCGTGGCGCGGCACCCCCTCATCGCCGCCCGCGTCGCCCCGCGCGCGGCCCCGGGGCCCCCGGCCCCCAGGCCCCGCGCCGTCGTCCGCGGGGCTGGCGGCGCAGGTGGCGGGCCCGGCGAGCAGCAGCAGGAGCAGCGGCGTCCAGGCCCCCGAGCGCTGCCGGGGCGGCCGCGCCATCGCTGCGCACGGATCCCGCAGCCAGGCCCCTGGGCCCGCAGCGGGGGCGCCGCGCGGACGGAGCCGCCGCCGCCGCCAGCGCGCCCGCGCAGCCGCGGAGCCGCCCGCGCCCGCCGCCTCCCGGCCTCGGTCTGCGCATCCTCGCTCCAGCCCCGCAGCCTGCCCTTCCTCCCAGCATCTCCTCCTCGCCGCCTGACTCGCCGTGCTGGCAGCTTCCCTGCTCCCTCCCGTCCTCTCCATTTCTCCGACCTCCCTCCCCATCCTCCTGCTGCCTCTTCTTGCAGGTGCACGTTGGGCCTTCTAGTCCCTTGATAGGAGGACTCAGAGAGTGGTCTGCGTACCAGCAGCGCCAGCATCGCCTGGGAGCTTATTAGCACCAGCAATCTCGGGCCCCCACTCCAGACCCGGGAAGCGGGATTGGCATGTCTCCAAATCCCCGGGGATCCCGGTGCGCGCGCCAGTTTAAGAAGCGCTCCTCTGGAGAGTTTACCCTGGACACATCTTGTTCCTGAATTTGTCGGTTTATATAGAGCACTTGTGGAACACTTATTTCTTGGGATCATAACAGAAGGAATTGGAATTGCAAGATCCCACTACATACTCAAATGCATGGATTTAAAAAAAAATCTTTTACACCATTAGGTAATTCGCTTTTAATTCCATTTAACACAAAATTAAAATTCTTTTATGCATTTAATTTATTTGAAAGGCATAGGGTCAGAGGCAGAGAAATCTTCCATCTGCTGCTTCACTCCCCCAACTGCATGCAACTGCAGGGGCTGGACCAGGCAGGAGCCAGGAGCCCAGAACTCAACCTGGGTCTCACCCACCTTGGTGGCAGGGACCCAAGACCTGTGCCTCTCAGGGTGTGCATTAGCAGAAGCTGGAAGCAGAAGCAAAGCTGGAACTCAGACCCAGGCATTCCCAATATGGGATGTGTGCATCCCAGCCTCCCCGCCCATCCACCAGTCTTTTGAAATACCCTCAAAGAAAGGTGAAGTGAAGAGGTCTGAGGCAGACAGGTTAGAGCCCAGATCTTAGAGCATGTACTCTGCAGAGGTCGCCGATGCCTGAGCACACTCTGCCCCCTTCAAAATGAGCCAACTGGTTCTTTTGCTCTGTTTCCCTGCAGCAAGAATGCAAAGGTCGGGGTGGGTGGGGTGAGGGGAGGGCATGTCAAGGCTGATGGCCACACTGAACTCAAATCCTCTCCTGCTGCTTGCGGTCAAACTCCTGGTTATTTATTCAGCCATCCATTAATTCACACCAAGTGTTTACTCTCTGCCAAGCCCAGAGGCTTTCTTCTGAAGATGGTGGCTCAGGTGGTAACATTCAAACTCCTATGCTGTTTTCTGTATGTGACATAGACACAATTCCTTTCATGTTAGTATTGGAAGAACCAGCCTTTTCACCCGTTGTTTTCCTATTTCTATTTCATTATGTAAACAAGGAAAATAATTATGATGGCAGAAAAGCATAGAAGTTTCAAATACAGGCCTACAAGGCAGACTGCCCTGTGTTGGTGAGCAGTAATAATCAGTAATTGCCATGATGCAACAAAGATTAAGATAACAGAGGCAGGGACGGGCTTTAGGTGCAGGGGTTAGACACGACCTGGAACTCCCACTTGTCATGTTGCTGTGCCTGGTTTCGAGTCCTGCCTCTGCTCCCAGTTCCAGCTTTCTCACACGCGCACCCTAGTAGGGTGGCAACTGATGGCTCAGGAACTTTGGTCCCTGCCACCCGTATGAGAGCCCCAGATTGAGTTCCTGGCTCCTGGCTTCAGCCTGGCTCAGCTTCAGCTGTTGTGGACATTTAGAGAGTGAGCAGTGGAAGGAAGATCTCTCTCTGGTTTGCCAATAAATAAATACTTTTAAAAAATGTCTTCTGTTCACAAGAGAAAGTGTCGCCAGTTTTAAGTGGACCAACATTTAGCTGCTAAATTGCTGTTAAAAACACACATGGGGATCAGCACTGTGGCGCAGTGGGTTAAGGCCCTGGCCTGCATCCCATATGAATGCCGGATCAAGTCCTGGCTGCTCCACTTCCAATCCAGCTCTCTGCTATGGCCTGGGAAAGCAGTGGAAGATGGTCCAAGTGCTTGGACCCCCGCACCTGCATGGGAGACCTGGAAGAAGCTCCTGGCTCCTGGCTTCAGATCAGCTCTGGCCATTTCAGTCATTTGGAGAGTGAACCAGCAGATGGAAGACCTTTCTCTCTGGCTCTACCTCTCTCAGTAACTCTTTCAAATAAATAAAATAAATCTTAAGCACACTCACACACATACACATACATATACACACACAGGCAGGGCTGGTGCTATAGCACAGTGAGTTAAGGTACCACAGTATTTGTTTGAGTCCTGGCTACTTGTTGATGCACCTGGAGAGGCAGCAGAGGATGGCCCAAATACTTGGTGTCTCCATGTGGGAGACCAGAATGGAGCTCCCGGCTCCTGGCTTCAGCCTGGTCCTGACCTGGATGTTGTAGCCATTCAGGGAATTAGCAGATAGCAATCTCTCCCTCTGTCACTCTTTCAGATAAATGAATGAATGAATCCCCCTTTTTTTTTAAATACATGGCTTTTTTTTTCCCCACAGGGTGGAGTGGGGGAAGGTTTGTACCATAGCCTACAATGGGGTTTGCAGGGGCTAGCACTGTGGTGTAGAGGGTTAAGCTGCTGCCTGCAGTGTTGGCATCTCATATGGGTGCCGCTTTAAGTCCCTGCTGCTCCACTTCCAATCTGGCTCCATGCTAATGTGCCTGGGAAAGCAGTGGAAGACAGTCCAAGTGCTTGGGCCCCTGCACCCATGTGGAAGACCCAGAAGAACCTCCTGGCCATCTGGGGAGTGAACCAGCAGATAGAAGCTCTCTCTCTCTCTCTCTGTAACTCTGCTTTTCAAACAAACAAATAAATCTTTAAAAAAATAAAATGAGGTTTGCAGGTAATGGGGATTTCAATTATCTACTCATGTCCAAAGATCCAGGGTCCATGGACTCCAGGCGGGGCACCACAGATGAGCTCAGGGGCATTTTGAGGTCCCTGTGAACGTGCTGGGGTAACATTACAACGTGTGCATTTTCTAGGAAGAGGACCCATAGCTTTCCTGGGTCACTCAAAGTCTATTAACCTCCCCAGGGCCTTGGAACTTACTTGGGTTTCTGATTCCCTGTACACTGAGCTGCTTCCATTTCATAGGGATTTTGTCCTACCCACTTACATTGCCTTTTGGGGTTTTCTTATTCTTTGTGGTTTCTTCTAACATATAAGCCCTGGAAAGAGTGAAGGGAGACTCATCCCAAGCTTCAGCACATGTTGCCCCCACTTAACTACATTCCCACATCTGCATAGACCCCATGCTCCCCATTGGGCAGGAAAGAACTACTGTAGTTTTCCTCTTGTGTAATTTCCAGGGAAGAATGTTTCCTGAACATTCTGACACCAGTGGCTGTACAAGAGCCAGCTATCCAAATGAGAACCCAGAGATCAACCAGAGTTTGATTTCATTTTCATTTTTAAGAGAAAGACAGCACCTTTATTTTCTCTTCTTATCAAAGCCATTTCTCTAAAACAATTTTTTCTGTTATAAAAATTACCCCAAGTCAGTGCATCTCAGTATCTGACCAGCAGCAGGTATGCCCGTGCTTCTTGACTGCCTAGCATATATAATTTTTCACTTTGGGTTTCATACGAAATAAAAGCTATGATCTTGGCAGTTCCTCTGAAAGTTAAACATAAATTTCCTATGTGATCCAGCAATTCAGAGAGGATTGAAAACATGTTCTCACAAAAACTTGTACATAGATGTTCATAACAGTGTTATTCACAATAGCCGAAAAGTAGAAGCCAACCCAAATTCTCATCACTTGCTGAATGGATAAACAAAATGTGGTGTATCCATACAATGATATACTATTCGGTCATAAAAAGTATGAAGTTCTGATACATGCTACAACACAGATGAACCTAGAAACATTATGTTAAGTGAAAGCAGCCAATCACAAAATACCACATAACGTATGATTCAATTTACATGAAATGTCCAGAGTAAAAGCAAAGCCACAGACAGAAATCCAGACAGAAAAGGAAATTAGTGGTTTCCAAGGGATGAGTGGGGGGAGTAGATAGTGGTTATATTGGCACAAAGTTGTGAATACACTAAAAATCACAGAATTGTACACTTTTCAATGGTTTACATAGTGAATTTTATTTGAACTTTTTTTTTTTTTTTTGAAAGCCGTGATCTTTGAGATGGTGAGAGAAAGCTAACAACGTCGGAATATCCCTGTGCTATTTGGGCAGTGTGAAATTCTAGGTACACCCTTGTGGGATCTTCTGAATGTTCTAGAACCTTGTTTTACAACTCTTTCAACATAAGGACCTCCTGTGCAATGTGCAATTCATAAGCCCCGTGGGTTGAGGATTACCAGATCCCTACAGTAACCCACTGTGCCCAGCGGGAGTCTTCGGCCCCAGCTCTGGAATGATGATATCAGCAAGCCAATTCCCCCCATGGCCCTAAGGTATGTGCTGGGTACAAGTATGGTGCTGTTATTTTGGTGCTGAGTCTATAAAAGGTGAAACAATCGTACCAATTCATTTTAGTTGCTAGCATCCAGGCACTCTCTCCAGTCACAATGTCAAGTACATTCAAGGAGGCAAATAACCAGGACAACTGCTGCAACCATGGTATCTTCTTGATTTTACTGGTTAGAGCTGAGCTGCCAAAGGTGCTAGGTTTTCCTAGGCAGTAACAGCCGGTTTGGCTGTGGTCAGACTTCCAGTGACATCACCTTCTGAAACATCTGTAAGCCCAGGGGGAAGTGGGGACGAAGCAGGAGATTCCAGGTCTCCTGGAAACAGCGGCTGAAAAGCCCATGCATTCTTCCCCAGGAGCAAAGCAGATTCGACGCACATGAACTACTTGGTCTCCTGGCTGCCTGCAGACACCTGCAGCTGTGTTGTAGAGGCTTCCATCGAGAGCAGGAGGCGAAGAGTGGAGGCTGCAGAAAGCAGTTTAGAAGAGGAGGAGGGCTGCTGGATTGGCAAGCGGTGACAACCCCATACTGTACAGGAACACATTTTGTATCATGTGCATGATATCAAGAACAGCTAAAGCTGTTTTTAAAAGTTCAGCCAGGGGCCACAGGGGAGAAGGGGCCCCAAACACTACAACCGCCCCAGACAGCTCCACTGGTAGAACAGACAGCAGTAAAAAACAAAACAAAAATCCCCATCAGGGACAACAACATAATATTCTAAAAGAGGCCAAGCCAAGCCCTACAGATTTTGCTAGTTCCTGATGACATCACTGTATCATACCAAGGTCCCAAAGGGACCAATGTGTGTAATGATGGCCATGACTCACCCAGAAAAGGATAAATACTCTCCATTGTACTCTGTTTACTAAGGCAGGGAAGTGTGTTATCCATTGTAGAAAGATTTCTCTCAAAAAACATGAACATTTTAAAGATTCAGCACTTAAAGAGTTAATCCTCAGTGATGTCACTACTTGCTTACATACCGCATTTTACAATGCCAGCAAATGAGGCATGTCTTTTTTTATATATATATCGTCATCAGTATCAAATTATTGGCACCATTCGGTTTGAAGGATAGGGACAGGAGAGCAAACTGTAGGATACAACAAAAAAGCGCAGTTGTGACACAGATGTACGGCATCCATTCCACTGAACAAGAGGTCCTAAGAAGTGGATGGAGATTTTACACTCAAGGAAACACAGCTAGGAAATCATCACAGGATAAAAGTGCTCAGCCTTGCTAGCAGTTAATGAAATAAACCAACTCTTCAAGAACAACTATACACACCTATTAAACAAGTGAAAATAAATACAGACGGCAAAACCCAACACTGGCAGAGCTATTGGTCAATAGAAATGCGTATACACTGCTGGTGGCATCATAGATTGTAGGGGGGGTTCAAGCATTGGGGAGGAGGGTAGGGGGTTGAACTATATGACCTTTAAGGTCCTTCCAACCCAGAGATTGGATCTTTTCTAGAAAGCAATCTGGCAATATAAAACAAGAGCTATAAAATATTTCATGCTCTTTTAACCTTGTAATCCCTCTCTGGAGATTTTCCTAAGGGAATAATCCAAAGAAGGCGTATTTTTTTTTTAACAAAGACATTCATAGCAGCACTACTTATAAGAGTGAAAAATTAGATATAACTCAAATATTGAATAATGAGAAGGGAGGCTAACCAAGTTTTACATGGATATAAAGACATTTAGAATGGTGAAAGTGATCCCATGTGGATAAGAAAAGTGTTGAGTGGAGAAGTACAACAAAAGAAAATGGACAAACTGATCATGGTTATGTCAAAATGTGCATATTCGCTGAGGAAGCCAGGGAGATAATTTAGAGGAATAGTTTGTGGTGAGGGGTTCCTTTACTCCTGCAAAGTTGTTCAAGTACATAATAAAAATTTAAAAATTTCTTGAAACTATATAAAAAGGGAGCAAAATTTCCTCTAGTCGAGGTTTTATCAATAGGACATGAAGTGATCAACTTTAGAAATAATTTTCCTGTATGGAACACCCAAATGGATCTTCTTGAGGTTGAATCATTTTAACCTTGTGAGGATTTTTTTGACAATTGAAACTAGAATTTTCTACGTTGGGTTCAATGATAAATTCTGCTTATCCCAAATCATATCCTATCCAACAAGTTAGGTTATATTTCCAGCTAAGTTGAAGTACCTTCAGTTATGGTAATATGTGATGTTCTATTTTAGTTCAGTTACTCACGTCTGAATAAAAACGAATGTTAAGGACTTCATAAGGTCAGTGTAAATGAAAAACCAGCAGTAAAGAATTATTCTCTCATTAAAAATGACTCTTTAACAAACAGTCAAAGCGTGGTGCAAGTTTCAATCATACAAAATCGCATGGTTTTTAGATAGAGAGCAAAGGATTCCATATTGTATTAATCCCTGTGCCTATTAACAGACACACACAGGGATGCCGGAAAAGGAACCCTCGGTTTCCCACCTTTCTTCTCCTAAACCTACCAACTCCTGTCTCAGTTACACTGAGTCATAGAAAGACTCCGATGCGCATGAGACATAAAATAACTTTTCCAATAAAACTCAAGCCAGAAGTTGGCTTCCACCAATCACGGCGACCTGGGCGAGCAGGGCACCCCACAGCTGAGTGTTGCGCTAGGGCGAGCACACCAAGCCTGAAGAAAGGAAACGGACAGAAGGCACCATGCCAACCCCCAGGCATCAGGGAGAATTTCACAGTTCGGTCATCAACAGTCTTTTCATCATTTTCTCCCTCTCCAGTTCTTGCCGGAGCGTCTCTGCACTGAAGAAGAAGTGACAAGATAATGAGACAGAATCACACACACTGTAGCAGCAGACCACGTCAGTGTCACTCTCCAGGTCCTTTCTTTTATTGAAAAGTAGAGACTGAGACAGAGAGAGATATCCCCCCACCCACCCACTCCCCAAATGCCCACAACAGCTGGAGCTGGGCTAGGCCAAAGCCAAGAGCCAGGAACTCCATGTAGGTCTCCCATATGGGTGGCAGGGACCCAAGTAGTTGAGCCGTCACCTGTTGCCTCCCAGGAGCCGTAGCAGGAAGCTGGAATCAGGAGTGGAGCCAGGACTGGAGCCCACCCAGGCACTCCGCCGTGGCATGCGGTGTTCCCAGCAGCGTCTTAACCGCTGCACCAAACACCTGCCCCCGGATTCTCTCTTGATCGCAGTTCTTGACTGTCCTTTGTTGGTTCCTAAGGGACCCTCTATGCTTGACAGCACTGTAATGACCTGAGGTTTTCTGGCTTATAGGCTCCCCCTGAGGAGCTCCTGGGTAGACTGAGTCTATGTCCTTCACCTCCACAACCCCAGAGCCTGGCACGGGATCTGGCACACTGAATGACTGGGAAGATGCCCGGGGGGAGACTTCTGTAAATTGCATTTTAAGTTGGTTTCATATGCAATTTTCCCCAGAGCTTAATTGGTTGACTATGAAAGAGAACAGCTTAACAAAGAGAATGCCTTATGTTTTAATGAGTAAAACTAAGTGAAGTAAAACTGGCTGCTCTGAGAGGCTGCCTCTGATGTCTTGGCCCTTGGGTTCAGCTACATATTTAAGGTGCTCATTTCCACTGTTTACACACACACACACACACACACACACACACATCTTTAAAGGTCTCAACCAGGGCCTGTGTTGTGGAGTAGCGAGTTAAGCTGCCTGCTTCCATGCTGCCATCCCATATGTGTGCTGGTTCAAGTCCCTGGTGCTCCACTTCTGATCCAGCTCCCTGTTAATGTGCCTGGGAAAGCAGCAGAGGATGACCCAAGTGCCTAGGCCCCTACACCCACACGAGAAACTTGGATGAAGCTCCTGGCCTAGTCTCCCCCATTGTGGCCATCTGGGGAGTGAACCAGTGGACAGAAGATCTCTGTCTGTCTTTCCTCTCTTTGTAACTCTGCCTTTCAGATAAATTAATAAATCTTTTTAAAAAAATGTTTTTAGGCTGGTGCCGCAGCTCACTTGGCTAACCATCCACCTGCAGTACCGGTACCCGGGGTTCTAGTCCTGGTTGGGGTGCCGGATCCTGTCCTGGTTGCTCCTCTTTCAGTCCAGCTCTCTGCTGTGGCCCGGGAGGGCAGTGGAGGATGGCCCAGGTCCTTGGGCCCTGCACCCGCATGGGAGACCAGGAGGAAGCACCTGACTCCTGGCTTCGGATCGGCACAGCGCGCCAGCCGTAGGGGCATTGGGGGGTGAACAACGGAAGGAAGCTTCTCTCTTCTCTCCTCGTCTACGTCTGTCTGTCAATAATAATAATAAAAATAAAAAATTTTATTAAATAAGTGTTCCACGATGTTCACATCTCCCACCAGGATAGAAATTTTTTTTTTTTTTTTTTCTGTATAGGCAGAGTTAGACAGTGAGAGAGAGAGAGACAGAGAGAAAGGTCTTCCTTTCCGTTGGTTCACCCCTCAAATGGCCGCTACGGCTGGTGCACTGCGCCGATCTGAAGCCAGGAGTCAGGTGGTTCTCCTGGTCTCCCATGCGGGTGCAGGGCCCAAGCACTTGGGCCATCCTCCACTGCCTTCCTGGGCCACAGCAGAGAGCTGGACTGGAAGAGGAGCAACCGGGACAGAATCCGGCGACTCAACCGGGACTAGAACCCAGGGTGCTGGTGCCACAGGCGGAGGATTAGCCAAATGAGTCGCAGCGCTGACCAGAAATTAAAATTTCTACTACGGTCAACAAGGCCTTATTCCATCTGGCCCCAGCCCCCTAGTTCATAAGCCTCCTCCCCTGTCACTCATCCTGGTCTGGCCGCACTGGCCATTTCAGCTTCCCTGGCCATGCCAGGCACACTCCATGTCAGGAGACTTAACTCCGGCTGTTCCTTCTGTGTGGTCTGATTTTTTCCTAGATAGCTGCAGCCTGTTCCCTCACTATCTTCAAGCCTTTGCTTAGGGATCAATGCTGTGGTATAGCAAGGTAAGCCACTGCCACTGCTGGTTCGAGTCCCGTTTGCTCCACTTCCAATCTAGCTCCCTGCTAATGTGCCTAGGAAAGCAGTGGGAGATGGCCTAAGTGTTTTGGCACCTGTCCCTACATGGGAGACCCAGAAGAAGCTCCTGGCTCCTGGCTTTGGATTGGCCCAGCTCTGGCTGTTGCAGCCATTTGGGGAGTGAATCAACAGATGGAAGACCTTTCTCTCCCTCTCTCCCTCTCTCTGTGTTTAACTCTGCCTCTCAAATAAATAAATAAATCTTTGGGGAGAAAAAGACTGCTTAAATGACACTTCCACGAGGCCATCCAGCTTGTCTTCCTGCTTTTATTTTCCTCCTTTGCACTATCACACACTCATCCACCTGTGTGCACACACACCCATTTGTTTCCCCTACCACACACACACTAACCTGTAAGGGTAGGACTCTTGTTTTTTTATTTTTTTTTTAGATTTATTTGTTTACCTATTTGAAAGACAAAATAGAGAAAATGGGTTGGGGGGTTCTTTCATCTGCTGTGCTATTCACCACAACCAGGTCTAGACCAGACCAAAGTCAGGAGGCAGGAACTCTATCTGGGTCTCCCACATGGATGACAGGGGTCCCGGTACTTGGCCCATCATACATTGCCTTCCCAGGACCATTAGCAGGGAGCTGGATTGGAAGCGGAACAGCTGGGACCCAAACCAGCCTCAGATATGGGATGCTGGCATGGCAAGGGGCAGCTTAACCTGCTGAACCACAACGTGAGCCCCAGGCTGGAACTCTGAATCAGTTTTGTTCATTGTGCTCCTGGGATACAGCTACCCATTGTAGCATTTCCATGAACACAGAATAAGCGAAGGCAAGAATCAACAGAAGGGTTACAGATGTCACAGACACATGGCCGAGAGTCTGTGCCTGGCTTCCCTGTTCCCAGGGTAACCTGCCAGTGGCTGCGGCTGATCTGACTCACCTGGCTGCCAGAGCAACAGGCTTCCGGGGGGTGTAGACGGTCTGCACGGTGGGGACGGTCTCTGTCAAAGGCCTCAGGGTCACGGCTGGGATCAGCGGGGAAGACTGGCCAGGACAGCACGGTAATTTACTGTCTCTGAAGTCTGCCTGGAGAAGAAACCGAAGAGAGGAGATCAATCTCCATTTGGGCCTCATTTTCACACTGTCAGCTGCTGTGCCGCCCTGCTCTCCATTCCTATTATTTTTTTAATAAGAGCAAAAATCCATGGTCGTTTGAAGCAATTTTACTTTGTGCTGAACTCTACACCAAGCATCCTACATCCATCACCTCAAGACAGCCTTTTCAGGTAGAGCTCAGACTTCATGACATCGCAGACAACCCCCGCTGTATGACGCAGCAGCTCTGCAGGTGCCGCGGAGGAAGAAGAATGTGGTCATTCTAACTCTGTCATGTCCTCCACAGCAAGAAACGCTCAGGGATGTTATAAGACAAAAAGTGTACATCTCAGAACTCATTTTTTTTTTGACAGGCAGAGTGGACAGTGAGAGAGAGAGAGACAGAGAGAAAGGTCTTCCTTTGCCGTTGGTTCATCCTCCAATGGCCACCGCGGCCAGCGCGCTGCGGCCAGCGCACCGCGCTGATCCGATGGCAGGAGCCAGGTGCTTCTCCTGGTCTCCCATGGGGTGCAGGGCCCAAGCACTTGGGCCATCCTCCACTGCACTTCCTTGGCCACAGCAGAGAGCTGGCCTGGAAGAGGGGCAACCGGGACAGAATCTGGCGCCCCGACCGGGACTAGAACTTGGTGTGCTGGCGCCGCTAGGCAGAGGATTAGCCTAGTGAGCCGCGGTGCCGGCTAGAACTCATTTTTTTTAAAATTTTTTTGACAGAAGGGAGCACATAAACAAGTCTAGTATCTGCTAACACTAACCGATGGAATAAATAAAGGGGAGAGTGATCCAACATGGGAAGTGAGATACTCAGCAGACTCATAGAATGGCAGATGTCCTAAATAGCACTCTGGCCTCAGAATCAGCCCTAAAGGCATTCGGATCTGGCTGAAAAGCCCATGAGAGTATTTCAGGCATGGAAAGCCAAGACACTCTGGCAAAAGATCTCTGCGAGTGAGATCCCAGTGGAAAGAACAGGTCATCAAAGAAGGAGGTACCTTTCTCTGAAGGGAGGAGAGAACCTCCACTTTGACTATGACCTTGTCTAAACAAGATAAGAGTCGGAGAACTCAGAGGGCTTCCATAGCCTTGGAAACTCATGACTGGAGCACAGGGAGATTACTGATGCCATAGACAGGAGTGTCAATTGGTAAAGTCAACAACAGGAGTCACTGTACACTTACTCCTCATGTAGGATCTCTGTCCTTAATGTGCTGTGTATTTCATCATCATTTTAAAAAAAATCATCTATTATTTTTCACTTTATGTTTCTGTGTGGGAGCAAACTATTGAAATCCTTACTTAATGTATACTAAGCTGATCTTCTGTATAATAAGATAATTTCAAATGAATCTTGATGTGAATGGAAGGGGAGAGGGAGTGGGAAAGGGGAGGGTAGTGGGTGGGAGGGACGGTATGGGGGGGAAGCCATTGTAATCCATAAATCGTACTTTGGAAATTTATATTCATTAAATAAAAGTTAAAAAAAATTTTTTTTGACAGGCAGAGTTAGTGAGAGAGAGAGACAGAGAGAAAGGTCTGCCTTTTTCCGTTGGTTCACCCCCTAAGTGGCCACTATGGCCGGCATGTTGTGGCCGGTGCGCTGCGCCGATCCGAAGCCAGGAGCCAGGTGCTTCTCCTGGTTTCCCACGGGGTGCAGGGCCCAAGGACTTGGGCCATCCTCCACTGCACTCCCGGGCCACAGCAGAGAGTTGGACTGGAAGAGGAGCAACCGGGACAGAATCTGGCGCCCCGACTGGGACTAGAACCCTGGGTGGAGCGCTGCAGGCAGAGGATTAGGCTAGTGAGCTGCGGCGCTGGCAAGAAAGGTCTTCTTTTCGTTGGTTCACTCCACTAATGGCCGCTACAGTCAGTGCTGTGCCAATCTGAAGCCAGGAGCCGGGTGCCTCCTCCTGGTCTCCCATGCTGATGCAGGGCATCCTCCACTGCCCTCCCGGGCCACAGCAGAGAGCTGGACTGGAAGAGGAGCAACTGGGACTAGTACCAGCACCCCAATCGGGACTAGAACCCAAGATGCCAGCGCCACAGGCGAGGATTAGCCACGTCAGCCATGGCGCCGGCCTCAGAACTCACTTTTTAAAAAATTTACTTATTTATTTTAAAGGCAGAGTTACAGAGAGAGAAAGGAGAGAGAGAGAGATCTTTCATCTGTTGGTTCACTCCTCAAATGGCTGCAACGGCTAGGGCTGGGCCAGGCTGAAGTCAGGAGCCAGGCGCTTCTTCCAGGTCTCTCATGTTGGTGCAGGGGCCAAAGCACTTGGGCCATCCTCTGCTGCTTTCCCAGGCAAAGAAGAGAGCTGGATCAGAAGTGGGTCAGCTGGGACTCCAAACAGTGCCCATATGGGATGCCGGCATGGTAGGCAGTGGCTTAACCAGCTGTGCCACAGTGCTGGCCCCCAGGACTGATTTTATGGAAAAGGACCAGTGACACTCAGAGATGTTAAGTATTGCAAGGTCACACAGTTCAGAACAATATTCAGAAGCAGGGTGGCTGTTTCCACATTTGGTCTTTGTTTAGAAATTGATGTTTCTTTTCCAGCAACCTCGTTTCCATTTTGCTTTGGAGACTGGAGAACGCAGCTTCAGCCCACGCAGCGGTTGTTTCCATGTACTCGGTGGCCTGAGCAGCCGGGCTGCAGCCCGGTTTTCAGTGGTGGGCTGAGTGTGCCACGCTTCAGGACGGAACTGCCGGATGGCACAGAGGGAACCTGCAGCCTGCAGCCCATCTGTGACCCCCCGCTGAGTAGCAGTAAACTCAGGAGCGGGGGCTGTCCATTCCCTCTGAAATTCCTCCTTGGTCACAGCCTGCTCCTCCTTTTCAATTTCTTTAGGATCTCTGTAGAAGCAGAGGTCAGGCCTGAAGCTCTGAGCGTGAAGTGGCCAGAATGAAAGAAGAAAAGACTCAATAGGAGGGCTACAGATATCACAAACACCATGAATGTAGAGTCTGGGCCTTGTGTCCCCGTTACTAGGGTAACAGGAGTGGCTCCAGTGGCAGCCCAGCCCTCTGTCCAGGGTTCCTGAAGGATGCGACACTGGCATCTGCAGGGTTTTCAATGCCAACAATGGCATGAGCCTCCCACAGAAGCTTCTCTCAGGTTCTCTTTGGATTTATGAAGTAGCTGTCGTCACTGTTCTTCTTGCAGAGGTGCTGTTCCATGTGGAAGCCAAGGCTGGCGCCACCGAAGCGGATGCCTAGTACAAGGACCTTGAGGTGCTCTCCCTCCTCCTTCATTTGCAGGACATCAAGGGCTCTGGACATCGTGACAGCTTCCAGTTCAGTTACGCCGGGAATCAAGAGCTATGCCAGGTGGACCACCAGCTGCACAGCAAGGAAAAGGGCTGCAACTGGGCTTTCAAAAAAGTTTATTGACTTATTTTTATTTATTTGAAATATATATATACATATGCAATATACATATATACATGTTTTATATATATATATATATAGAGAGAGAGAGAGAGAGAGAGAGATATCTTCCATCTTCTGGTTCACTCCCCAAATGCCCAGAACATCTAGGGCTGGGCCATGTCAAAGGTAGGAGCCAGGAACCAACCATGTCTCCCACATGGGTGGCAGGAACCCAAGTCCGGGAGACTTCATCTGCTGCCTCCCAGGCTGTACATCACCAGGAAGCTGGAGTTGAAACAGGCAGGACTCAAACCCAGGCCCTCTGACATGGAATGCAAGTGTCCCAAGCAGCAGTTTAGCCTGCTGCACCATGTTGCCCACCCCCATAACTGGTCTGTTTCACTTCTGTAGCAGTTGTTCCCAAAGTATGGTCCCTGGGATATCACCAGTCTTATCTTTTTTTTTTTTTTTTTTTTTTTGACAGGCAGAGTGGACAGTGAGAGAGAGAGACAGAGAGAGAAAGGTCTTCCTTTTTGCCGTTGGTTCACCCTCCAATGGCCGCCGCTGCAGCCGGCGCACCGCGCTGATCCTGGCAGGAGCCAGGAGCCAGGTGCTTTTCCTGGTCTCCCATGGGGTGCAGGGCCCAAGCACCTGGGCCATCCTCCACTGCACTCCCTGGCCATAGCAGAGAGCTGGCCTGGAAGAGGGGCAACCGGGACAGAATCCGGCGCCCCAACCGGGACTCGAACCCGGTGTGCCGGCGCCGCAAGGTGGAGGATTAGCCTATTGAGCCACGGCGCCGGCTCTATCACCAGTCTTATCTTGAAACCTGGTATTAAAAAAAAAAAACAACCAAATTTTCAGGTCTCACCCAAGTCCTTCGAGCCAGCATGTCTGAGGGTAAATTTCTACCAATCTAAGTTTAATGTGACCCCCAGATAATTCTGGAACACAGGAAAGTTCCAGAAGTACTGGAGAGGGTAATTTATTGTCATTACAAAGCAAAATATACTACTTTTTTTTACATAGCTTAGAAAATGTATAAATGTAAAATCCCTCACTGTTGTCAACAGTGTATTTCCTTACGGTATTTTTATATGCAGCTTTTGTTTGCTTTTATATCCTGTTGATAAATATTTACAACTTGATTTTCACACTAGTTCTTGATCCTGAACTCAAAGAAGTTTATCACACAGCTTTCTAACAAGGCTTTGATCATTCAGTGAGCGGTATCACCTTAGTGGTAACTCTCATACAAAAGAGGAGCTGCCCTTCCCAGTGGATCATGGAAAACCACTGAAAACATCATGTACAGGTGACCAGAAATATTCTGGACTTTCCTGGATTTTGATCTATATACATATACCTAATGAGATACAGGATAGGACTCAGCTTTAACCACAAAATCCATACGGGCTTCACATACATCTTACACATACTGCTTTGGGTAATTTTATATAACATTTTTATTTTGTTAAATATTTATTTGTTTGAAAGAACAAGAGAGAGAGAGAGAGAGAGAGAGAGAGGGAATGAATCGATCTTCCATCTGTGAGTTCACTCTCCAAATAACTGTAAAAGCCAGATCTGCATCAAGCTGAACTCA